TCACTTTAAAGCAGGATGGCTTTGTGACGGATGGTTCCCTGGGCTCTTTTGACTCGGCTTTCTGCTGTTTCTTTCTCCAGCCCATTTCATGCTGATGTTCATCGTGCAAAATGTCTGACATTTGAGACTGAGACAAAGTACTTAAAGAGAAAGGAAGCTAGGCAAACAAAGAAGCCATTCTAGCAGATCAACATGTTCCTTGAGATGTCCTGAGTTAGTTACTGATCCACATGTCAGACATTGTACCTATACTGTCTTATTAGGTCCCCATAATAGCTACGTGAGGTAGACACATTTTACACATGAGGAACTAAGGCTGGAGGAATGAAATATTCTTTTTTAAACATATGATTCCCAAGGAGCAGAACCTGGGTCCAATCCCACATGGGTCTGGAAGGGTTGCCTGTCCTCCCTGTCCTACAAACTGCTGCATACCTCACTGAGTCCTTGCCAAAGAGTACTGTCATCACCTCTTTACTTCACTTTTTCTCAGCTAATCTCCAAACTCCTAAAGAATGTGGGTGCTGTCTTTTCCCCGTTTCCAGAACCTATCTCAATTTCTGGTATATGGTGGGTGTTCAGTAATGTCTGTGTAGAGAAGAAATGAATGAATATACCCATTTCTCCCTGTCCACCTTTGCAATTGCAACCACAGAGTAGAATAATATAAAAGAGGCACTTTTAATAATGAAATACCACAGAATTTAAAAGTTTATGCTGGCACGGTTATCTGTTTTATCTTTTTATCTTATTATTCAACTATGTTTTTTGAAAGAAAAAGTGTGTTCTAGTAATAAACACACACACTCACACACACACACACGCCCCCACACGCACAAAATCTTCAACACTGCCTAGTTAGATCTTAAGAACTGGAGGTACTTAATGAATATTAGTTAATTCAATGAATTCATGGTGGCTTATGACTAAAAGCTGGGCATAGTGATGGCGTGGCTGTAATCCCAGCGACACAGGAGGCCAAGACCCGAGGGTTGCAAGTTTGAGGACAGCCTTGGCAACTTAGTGAGATCTTGTCTTGAAACAAACAAAAAATTTAGAAAGGGGTGGGAATGGAGCTCAATGGTAAAACACTCATGGGTTCAATCCCTAGTACTGCAATAAATAAGTAAATAATAGTAAAACCTAAAAAAAAAAAAAAAACCAACAACAAAAAAAAGAATAACTCATCATATTATTTGTTCACTCTAGCAAAGGAGAAAGCTATTTTAGAGGAGGTGAGTGTAAACATAATAGGGAGACAAAAGTCAGAAGCTACAGAGGACAAATTATGAAATCTTGGCCCCAGCTGATATCAAAAGGTATCAGTTGAAATAATGTTTTCTCTCTATTTTATGTGTATGTCTAATTTTCCAAGGTATAAAATAAATATGTGTCGGAATCAGAATAAAAATCATAAATATGTCT